ATTTGGATGGAGGACGGCTTAGGGTCGAGCTCAGACAAGGCTGCCTCGATGTGTGAGGCGCAAGATGGACAATGTAAGTTTGGTATGAGAAATGTTGTTTGCAAATGTTGTTCCATTTGAGATGCCATCGTGAGTGCACGCGATGAGTAGAGGAATCAACCAGAGAAAAAGGTCTAGGGTCGCAGGCAGGCGAATCAAGCTATATAGAAGTCTAGGCCATCGCAGAAGGGTTCCAGCTATGTGATAAAAGCAGGGCTGAAGGAGGTGGCGCTGATCCAGTCCGGAGACTGTGATTGTGTGTGGCCCTCACACTGTCTCGTCATCGGGTGGGGCTTGCTTCACAGAAAGACGCACAAAAAGCGCAGCGCTTTTAGCGTTTGCGCGTTTTGTGCCTGGTACTTGGACAGGGGCGGACTGCAGCGCGTCCAAAAGCGCATAAGTGACGCAGTGGCCCCACTGTTTCATCCTCAGATTATTGAAACTGGCACATATAGCTCAGAACAGGAAGTAGCACTCTGACTTGAGAACACAACTGACCAGCTATATAACTGCGTCCACAGCCCCATTGCCCGACACGCAGCAATTCCTAGTCATCCCCACCACATCCCGCTATCGTCCTTGTTCCAACCACAACCTCTCAACGCTACCTCGTCTTCATGGCTCGCACTTATGAGTTCAATGTCTTCATGTCCTGCGGAGGCAAGTTCACTATCCCTAAATCTCTTCCGAAGTTTGTTAGCCTCTTTCTAACACGACATGTATTGTATCTAGGTTGCGCCTCTGCCGTTAAGCGTGCGGTTGACCGCATACCCGAGGTGATCTCAATTGAGATCTCAGTAGCCGATCAAACTGTAACGGTCGTCACTACGGATGGTGTGACACTTGAGACCGTTTCCGAAGCAATAAAAAGATCTGGCAAAGATCTCAAGTCCAGCAAAGTTGTTGAAGAAGCGCATGAGAGCTGAACCGGGAAACTGTTATTTGGCCGGATTGGCGTGTTGAAGGTTACGGGACAAGGCCTGTCTTACTCTCGAAGTACTTAGCAAGATACTGGTAGCCCACTCAATCCGGAAGTGAATATGTGCCAGAACACCTTCGCTTTGCTTAACCTACTGATTGGCTCCCCCTGTTGAATAATTAAACCTCACACATCCTCATCGACTGAATGTGTACCAGTACCAACATGCCTCCACACAACCTTCTAATCGCCCAGCTAACGGCTTTAGCGTCGCTAAGGCTTCAGTTCCCGGTTCGATGGCCTCAAGGGCAAGATCCTTGTAGTAAATACCGCTGGCATTCTGCACGCGAACGTGACGCGGGACACCGTTATTTCATTTTCCTTATATCAAGGTTGAGAATCCTGGCATGTGCCTGTATTCAAAGAATGTCTGAGTCAGGTGGAAGCCACACTTAGTCTTTTCTGCCTGCTTGACAACACTACCTTCGAGTGTATCTGAACCCCATCGGCAGCCCATCTAGGCGCAATTCGACCGGCCCTTCCACGCGGGCGGTCAATGGCACTTACTACCCCGAGCAGTGGAGTTGAGTATAAGGCTGGCGATCTTTTGACCCTGCAGGATGGAAATGGGGAGTGCTATTCTAATGACGTTCCGACGGCTCAGGCCATCTCGATTGATTGACCAGGCTAGGATCAGGATGGTCAGGATTAAGAAAACATTCCGAGACTGAGGTATGTATGTCGTTGACGCAGTCCCGACCGAGATCACGTCGACAAGTGCCTGGCCAGCATCTTAGTATTTGTCCACCGAACATATTTGGACACGGAAATGGGGCACTTACCGGAACCCAGCAGCAGGAGAGATGAAGGGTTGCGCCGGTAGAACCGTCGACAAAGCGTCCCTTAGCTGTAGTGGACGTTCCATGTGGGCCATTCTGTCGCTCTTCTTATGTGAAGGGACTCAGGAAGGGGGACGTTCAGAGAAGAAAAGCCCCATTTGGGCTACTCTACCAGTTGACCGGGAGAAGGGGCCCGCCGATAGTGCCAAGAAAGGCAAAACAGTGCGACATTTTTGCGCTTCGTCCAAAGCACGCTTGTCCTTCCCCCTCACTTCGTCAATCGAGAATTGCGAGGGTTTTCTGCGTAGAAAGGATCGGCACGGTGTTTTGACAGGAGTTCGGCCTAAGCGTGATTTGTGCCACCGAGTTGCTAGGCAACAGGTTAGATTATGGCTGATGAAGAAATTCCAGCACCTCGTTGAAAGCTCAGTAATATCCCTCCGAAGAACAGCTGACAATATGAACTTTCGGCCCCTTCGCATGCGCTTCTCTCGATTCCCTTGGCACCATCATGTCGAGAGTCAGATCCGCCACGCTCCCATTGTCATGCGAGATCAAACCAACCAGCAAGATTGGGAGCCATCGCCGATGCCAAAACGAAGGCTGAATACTCAATCACGGGACTACAGCAGTGCGAGATCACGGGCAGTGCCATTGCGGATTGCCTCAAAGGTCGAATTTTGGAC